GAGCGTTGTAATCGCTTTATATTATTCAATATTTTGATTTTACTACATTTTTTAAATATTATTTATCGTTTTTGTCCCGAGTTATGTTATTACATATATATATTTTAGTAAAAAATTAGAAGCGTAAACAAATGTAAACAATCATCGCACGCTTAAAGCCAATATGAGCCCTTTAATTTTTACCACTCTTATAAATTCTATTTTAACATTCTTGTTAAGTCATAAGTATAATTTAGATACATGAACTCTTAGATAAGCCAAGTTTTTGTTAGCGTCGCAACCCCTCTACCCCTAATTTGTGTTAGTTATAAGTTCATATTTTAAACCATTAAAGTCAATTGTAACCCAGCTTCAAACAATGAGTTTTATTTAAACATCTCCATAGTAAAATCGCCACAATACTTAATTCCAGCTTGATTAAAAAATTTATTTTTAGACTTTTAAAACAAGTCAACAACTACTCTTTGGTCCGTAAGTATAACCTAACTCTAAGTACGAAATTGTGGAACTCAAAACGACACAATAGTCGAAATTCCATCAAAAGCGCTTTAAACATTAACAATTCCTTGCTCGGAAACAATTGGTCTAATAGTGACCCTTGAAAAAAGACTTTAAAGTTATTGTTAATGTTTTCACATTTCAGGAAGTTAAAATATAACGGATATAAGTTAAATATAACGATTTGGTTTAATTGAAGTGAAACTTCTTTATCGAGGTTGGAAAAAAATTTAGTGTAACATTTTTTCGTTACGCGTCACATTTTTCGGTTACGCGCCATGTTGCTTTTTGAAGTCAAACTTCTTTATCGGCGTTGGAATGAAACTTCTTTATCGACGTATGGGAGAAATTTTGTAGCAAATCGTCACGTTTTTCAATGATAGTAAGAATTCTATTACAATTAATGAAATTCTATAATAATCTTCGTAGTAATAAGGTAAAATGAAATATTTGTATTCATGTCTATGATAATAAAAGCCTTTTGTTAAACTTTATCTAATTTAACGAATTTCTGTAAAGTTGCATATAGTAGATCATTTTTCGAAAAATAAGATCATAAAGAAGTTTCACTTCTTACGTGTGTACACCTAGTACACGCACAATTTATTATAATTAGTCAGAACCATCAACTTTAGCCCCAATGGCAAATACGCGATCTGTTGTTCTGTTTGCAGTTTGACCAATCACATTCAAACGAAGCGCGCCACCATTTTGTCTTTTGTTTCTCAGCTGATTTTGGCGCCCTCCACGATATTTATCAAGAAGATGCTTTCTTTCATTTTTAACTTTCGTATGTCATCGGGCGTGCACAGTCGTGAAAGGTCATTATTTCCTATATATATCACTTACAATCGATTTTCACTCGGGATGAATCGACAACTTAGTTTATTTGGCGTCAGTACAATGGCGAAAGATGTCTCTTCGATAAGGATTAAATAATTTTTTGTTCAGATAAGTCCCATTGTTTTCTGTTTTTGTTTATTGACACAAAAATGAGGTTTCAATGCTCACTTAACGGTTGTTTTATCTTGACCTTTTGTTTATGATTGTTGAATACCTTTATGGTATTTCAATATAGATATTTATAGTTAATATTTATTGTGTTATCTGTGACGTAATCCCCACATAGTCATATAACAGAGTGGTCTGTTTTAAAGTTATGCGTAACCATACTTTTTATGAGTTTAACTATGTATTGTTATAGAGTTCAAAGAAGTATTACTTTACATTATTGTGTTCGGCATTATTGTTGCATTTTGGGACTAGTATTAGATTGGTTTCAGGCCGTATTCGTGTTACAATCTCCGACATTCCTGATGAATCATGCCCTAATTATTCCTTTCTGCGAACGTGGAAATAAATTTGGTACCGTTAAAAATAATCCAATAATTTCGATGGTCCACTTATTGCTTTTATGACTTTATTTCAGTCACTGTACTGAATAAAAATTGTTTGTACATGAAATAAAAGTGTAACTGCGCTTTAAATTATGTGTCCTTTTTGCATGTTTTATTGATCGGTTTTTGAAGTTATACTTCTTTAGGCGCGTTATGAAAAATTGATGAGAGTGAAATTTTACGATGCGCGCGCACCGTGACACAAAATTAACAGAATGAAGTTGCCCACGGAAGATGCTACGGCATTGGACATAATTTAAAAACAACATTCGAATAATAATATAATTTATGTTACACTTAATGTAAGAAAATAATAATAAATATTTATTTATTTAATTTTTCAAATGTAAACTGAACTTTATTGACTATAATGACTCTTTTTCCAGTCTTTCATTATTTAATTGTAATTAATTATTTGCATGCAATCAAAAAATATTTTTTAATAGAAAAGTAGGATCAGATTCTTTTGACACACGTAGTATGTACTAGTATGTGCTACGTGTGTCAAACGATAAATGTATGTGATAGATGCGAGATTCAATTTATATAGTTCCCTATTTCAATGATTTGGCGTCGAATGATATAACCCGTTCGAGTTCATTTTAAGTAATATTACGTGTTAAACCTAAAGGAAAATAAAAAATAACATGTACCACTGTTAGTTGTGTAATAAACAGAAATGTAGTACTATTTATTTTAATTACTTCGACGCACTTATTAAAGACTTACATAGTGCTGCTGACCAGTGAATTATTGTTTTGAAATTTTGAAAGGCTTCTTTTCAAGATCTTAACTTTCGTTTCGATTTTTTTAAATCAACAACACGTATTTTAAGTATAAACAGGGCGTCATACAAATGACGTAACAAAGAAAGAACACCGAGAAGATCGTTACGTCATAGTAGAATTCGGCGCTAATGATCATGTCAAATAAAGACTGTTGACGAAGGGCGAAAACTTGTGTTACGAAAGTGAAAGGCAGTTCTAGTCAAACATATTTTATTGCCTTCATGTTACATGAACTGGTAAAGGTATTTCCGATCTAGTGGTTTGTAAGAAATTCTAGGAATGTACACATGCGAAATTCACGTCAAACCGGGTAAATAAAAAGGTTCTATTCGAAATCTCGTTATCGTTGTATTGCTGGAATTAAGAGCTCGCTCTAAAAAGTTTTCATATTTCGTTACGCGTCCGAAGCCACGGCTTAAAGCACCATTATACTAGAAGTAGTAACGGGATATTTTGGACCGTAAACGCCTTGGGAGTGGCCAGTAAAAAGTGATAAAGATAATTTGTAAAAAGCACAGCCATAAAGCACGGGCGACGCATCACTATCTTTTGGGACAGTGCGTTATCTTAAAACTTAACGTGCCCACATTGAAGTAAACATTTGACTTAGAAAGTGCAGTTCCGTGTAACTCGACAAGAGATAATATTTTCGTGCTTATTTTTAATGTCCCAAATTCTTGGTACTTAGATTTGGGATTCTCTGGCGCCTTTAACCGGCAAACAATGTTATAAAACCCTTTTATCGGCATAGACTGGAAGGATTAGTCTTATCTGAGGTTGAAGAGTTCTATTTGCTTTCAAATATTTATCGTAATTGCCCAAATTAGGCAACGTTTAAGTAGGTAGGTGATAAGTGATAGTAATTTCAAAAGTAGGCAAATATTGCAATGTGCCTATGGTAAAGACTTATCGACATTATCGTATTGACGTAATCATGTTACAAATTGGATCGCGTAACGGGGTTGTCAATATGTCTGGTCGAATAAGTATCACGAGTGTCAGCCCGCGGTTATGTGCATTTACGATTACTTACACCACAATAAATTCGTGTCAAGCGCCCACTTTACCCTTAATACCAAGATTTGGTTTTTTGTACCCTGTCAGCCGTCAATCGGAACCTCGAATTCGAGACCACAAATTAAAGTCCCACTATAAAAACGTTAACACACACGTGTAAATTATGTTTTAAATGGATATTTTAGCACCCGTTAATGTTCGAATTCGAATGAATTTTATTATAAAAGGTTCTCCATTGATTGCATTTTAAACGATACTATAATTCCCAGAATTATTACATAGGCGTGCTGTCAATATCGTTCTTATGAGCTAAGCAAGGATTGAAATTAAAACGCATTGTAGGTACGTGAGTAAATTAAATGTGCATACAATGGATATCTTCTCACGGTCCCTTCATTATACAGAAGCATTGTCGTCGCCACGGTAGAGTGCGCCGAGGATGCCTCCCTCAGGAGTGCGTATGCTATTAGAATTTAGATTATCTATACTCGACAATAGCGCTGTTAAATGAAGCATAATCCTATGTTTAAATTATGAATGAATAACGTCGTAAATGAAGTATTGAACGCGATATTTAAACGCTTCATAATTCAAAGCAATTTGCTCCAGGCCTAACAAACATCTTCATATATCATCTTGCGCCTCAGGCGATGCGTCTAGAATATTTTCAGCGTTTTACAACTATGATGTAAACACATGTTTGTTTGATCATTACGAGAGTTCCTTATTTTGCTTCAGTACTTACGTATAATATGAGTTTGTCTTATGCAATTCTCATTGTATTTGTTCAAGTATGAAATTTTAAGTTGGCCTAGTGGCTTCAGCGACTCACCCTGAGATCGTATACTCGATTCACGGCGTGCAGTAATGGACTTATTATGTGTCCATTTAACACTCGCCCGTAAGGACAAAGGCATAGCTTAGAACCAAAGTCGACCGCGTGAGTTAGGCATAGAAGGCTCACTTGCTTATTAGAAAAAACAGATACTGAGGCCGAAAGCTAAATTATTATAGCGTCACTTATTTTTTAATATACATTTAGTAAAATATTAAAATCTTCTAACTATATGTATTCATATTTTCCTGTTATATATATAAGTATATAAGTTATTGCATGGATTTGATTTAAATAAATTTACTAAACAAGTGTGGCAAAACGATTTTTAAGTTGTAAAATTTTTATATTTTTTTCCTTAAAAAGCCCCCACCGACCCAACGGACCAAGGGTCTCGACACCGAATGGGACAAAATCATAGACATCCGTGTATTATTTATATAGACAACCCAAATATTGATACAAATGTTTTGTCAACAGATCGAACGTCTTGCCCAGTATGAGCGATTGGTCGGAGGCGGATGCGCACGGCGGCGAGCCTCACGCCTCTCAGACCTCGAGCGCGTTCAGGACCTCTTCCCTCACGACTACTTGGCCCTACACGATGCTGATGCCCTTGCCTCGCATCACACTCAGGTAATACAAAGTTATAGATTATATATAAAATTTTCGTATCACAATGTTCGTTCCCATACTCCTCCGAAACAGCTCGACCGATTCATATGTAATTTTTAATGCACATTCTGTAACTCCCCTCCAAAACTTTTTTATTTTGTAGACAATTTTTTTGTTTTATGATACAGCTTACAAAAATACATACAACACCAAATTTTCACCTCTCTACGATCAACCCCTATTTTTATTATAGTAGATAGTTATTTTTATCGAACTAAAAAATTTTTCCTAGAAATAATATACATGGCAAAACAACGTTCGCGGGTCAGCAACATGTTAAAAATATATATCGTAGATATTTCAACCCAATAGCGTTAAATATTGCTATAGAAAAACTACTACGACGCATGTCTGATATGATGACAGAATTACCAATCGTACACATCTAGTATTTAATATAGAAACGTAATATGTATAATATAGCTCAGCTAAACATACCGCACACAAACATCTCGTTCCGCATTCATTCACTGTATATTAACTGAATAAAAATGTACTTATAATTTAGTTTCAGAAACGATTTTTATTGAGAAACTTATAATCGTTATTTCGTAAACATCTATGTATATTTATTTAAGAATTTATGTTTAGCCTACGGTCTGTATATACACTGTTGCGATTTCGTAATCTGTGAAGAGCTTTAAAAGGTGTGCATGAGATAACAGGAAACTTAATTATAACATTGCGGATTCTGCAAAGTTTCCACTACACCTGACGTGCAGTGAACCTCGCCAAGCAAAACATTTACCTTCATTTTGATCGAAATAACTAGATCGTGATAAAATGCACCACCTTAATTCATTAAACAAACATTACTCATATTTTGCACCTGATTAATTATAACGTACTACCTACTTATATAATTTATAAGTTATATAGTATAACGTAAAAGTAAAAATTATTTAATCATATAGGTAACATAATGTACACTTATGACTCGTCAGTAAAGAAATACATATTAATGCTTCTAATTTTACATTTACTGCCAGTTCTCAAATCAAGGGCGTAGAACGGGAGAGAAGAACTGGCAATAAACTCTCCGCCACTCTTTTTAATCGCCATTATTTTTGTTTTACAAAATGTTTGTAAGGCAACCATTACACCATGTCCCATCTAACCCATTATTTTCCTACAATAAAGTTCACCAAAAAGAGTGCGTCTGTACATAAATAACAATCTTCTAGCCTATCAAATAATTATGACTAATAAGTAATATTATGTTGACTTAATTTTCTACAATACTAATGAATAGCTTAAACTAAGGTAATGTTCATTAACAGTCTTAGTGTTCTATAATGTTTTAATGACACTATGTTCGTGTGTCCGAGATACCGCACTTGCACTTTAAATATTCACTACACTAGATATATTATTAATAACTCAAAAGGTTTAGTCTTATTTAGGCGTCTTATTCCTGTTGTGTCAAGAAGTTTGATTTCTTACTTTACGATTTTTTTTCTACCCCTTTACCTAAATCCTAGGAAAATTATAACATTGGTTCAGTACTAAATAGATATATTTAATGATAATATATATTTACGATTGTGTTAGGTTCATTGGCATGATCAGGACTGTTACGATTCAGGACCCATATATCAAAATGTGTTCATTTGTCTAGTGTAAAACGAAAATAAATGTATATAACACTAATCACATACATACCTAAAATCAGAACCGAATACGGTTGCAAAAATAAAACCTATTTCGGAGCGATTCTTTACAACAACTCCTGAGATACGGGAAAAAGCAGTGGACTCGTTTCGAATAGGCCTGCGAAGGTTTTTGGTATATGGACTCTATAGCAATAACGGCGTACGACGGTGGCGTGATATTTTGTACTTTTTATTTTCTTAATATTATTATTTTTTTCTCATGAACGTGACATGTTTGTGTTTAATGATTATTTCTTAAAACCTAAATTAATGTATAATTTCAGAAATCGAAGAGTCTACGCAAACGGCCGAGCCTTGACATCAACGGTACAGTCTCTGCGAATAGCTCACTTCTACCACGCACATTTATCATGGAAGCACCTGCCCAATTGACCCTCATGGGTTCAACCTCCCCACCGTTAGATAGGCATTTGTTTCTCTTCAATGATTTGCTCCTAGTGGGAAAGTCTAGAGGGACGAACTGCTTCAAGTTGAAAGAGAGCGTGAGGCTGGCGGAGTTGTGGATTTCATTGCCAGAGAGTGATGACACTGGATTTCTTATTGGATGGCCGACCCTGAGCGGAGTTATTAACTACCTCGCGACATATCCCACTCAAGCTGCAAGGGATACGTGGTACAGGTAATATTAAAATTTTGTTTAAAATATTTGCAGTAGCATAAATAGATTAGGGTTATCCCGTATATGGTTAAATACGCTCTTGACTAACGAATTGGTAGTAAATGTAAATTTAGAATCAATTTAACAATTTTTCTGTTGACGTTCATAAGTGTACTTGGTTACCTATATGAAAAAAAAGTTAAAAAAATATAACATTCTCTGGGTTATATTTGATTCAAGCTGATCACATACTTGCCTAACAATAATATATGTTATTATTCTTTTGTGAAGTTATGAGAATTTCCAACAACGAATTTCATTATTTTTTTATTGAAATATTAATTAATTTATTAAAATGATGGCATTTGCAGGAAAATCCAAAATGCCTTAAACGCCAAGCTGACGAATGAACCAAAGTCGACGAACATTCAAATATTCTACAAAGATGTAACGAGCTCAATCGAATTCGTAAGTTTCCACAATTTCGCTTATTATAATGCAATTTTTTCGACGGCCTCGGTGGGAAAACTACAACTTTCTTTTGTTTTACTTTCATTTCACATATCCTGAGATCGTAATGCAAAACACGTACTGAAATTAATGTTACGCCCAAATAGCTTCTACTACAATCGTTTTCATAATCCACTTTCAAATGGATGTCCGTTGTTTTTTGGATAATGAAAAATAGATTTTTCTATAGTAAATTATTAATTACCTACATTGACATTCTTTACAGTATGCTCTGTATGTAAACTAACCTTGTTTATTAAAGGACTAAGGATAGTGTTTACTTAAAATGTAGACTGCCTTAGAAATAAATTTTACGATTTGTATATAATAAATTGAAAATTATATAATTAACAAATGAGTCTAAAATTTAATAATCAGTGGCGCTACAACCTTTTGAGGCATGGGTCTCAGGTTTCTGTATCTGTTTCATAATCATTTGTTAATCTAATAAGCAAGTAGGTGATTAGCCTCCTGTGCCTGATGCAGGCCGTCGACTTTTTCTAGGCCAACACTGCTCTGCGTCTAAAATTTATTAGTAAAAAGTTTTTAAACATTTCTCGTTGAATGGCGATACATATATCTTGTACTATGGACTATGTTTTTCTTTGATTACTAATTAAACCTTATTTAATTATATTTACAGTGTAAGACGGTCTCAGTAAATCCAGACATGAGCGCTCGATGTGTGGTCCGCCAGGCGCTTAATGTGCTGCAAGCAGGCGCTGAAGGTGACCATGATGAAGGAGAAGATGATCGCTGGGGAGCAGCCAATGACTTTAACCTTTGGGTACGGACTGGTCGAGATGCGCCACCAACGCCTCTTCAAGGAAATGAAAGACCGCATGCGATACAAGTTAGTATTTATGTTCGGGACGCTTCTGAGACCTAGTATGACTTACACACTTATTCATTGACTCACTCACACACTTGCACCCACACACTAACTCATGCACTCAGGCGTGTTGATAAGAGTTGAAAAATCAAAAACAAAAATAAATAAAATAAAAGATGTAATTAAATTATATATATAAATATATTTTAAGGAATTTATAATTAAGTTTGTTGTGGAAGAACGAGAAAAAGAAGTTCCCAAATCTTACACATTGTAATGCATATTATGTATGTACTTAAAATGAATAAACACATTTTTATTTATTTATATTCTTGTCTCTTAATTGACAAAATATATTTTTTTATAACACGCAGACAATTCGCATCGCATCACCATTTAAAATTGTTAAAAAACTAATTAAAATTCACTTAGTCAAACCCCCTTATTCATAAATTATAATTGCCCTCTCTTACCTAGTGTAGTCTTTGGTCTCTTTCTTAATGCATGTGATGAAACTACTAAACAGATGAATTCTTTGTTTCTTATAAATAATTTTAATACAAAGCCTTAAAGCTCTTTGGTAGAATCTTTAAAATACCAGCGATGTTGCCAGTTTATGTGTTTTTAAACAAATGTTTTTTACAGATGTCCCGAATACGACAAACATTGTCGAATGAAGACGGCTTCGATCTGGAGCACGTTAATGCCAAGAATAATCCCTGCGGCCTCGTCTTCGAATTGAGGAAAAAGAATCAAGCTTTGAAAAGGTAAACTTTTATTGTCTTTAAATCCTCTGACTTAGCTTGCTCTATTTATTTATGGGTTCGTTGTGTTACCACGAATTACAGACTTCGGACGGAGATTAATACCAGAATAGAATTCTTTGATTTATTGGGTGATTATCTTGGTTTAGACTTCGTTATGTTTTCAGCCAAATCTTTGTTTATAATATACTGTAGATGAATTGATTAATTCATCTACAGATTGGTGTAGTTTAATACTACACGTCAATTTAATTGCGTAAATATAAAACTAGTTACGGGTTTCATTGAATTTGAAATCTGAATATTATGATAATGCACTTAAAATTATTGTAAGATAATTAAGAGGCAAATTTTTGGAAAACAATTCCAAAAATAAACGTGCCCTATGGATTATTAATTTGATTTTATTCACGGGTTGTTTTATGTAAAATACGATACTTTAATTACTTAGCTTAATAAATATATAATTTTCCAGTACTTCCGGTACCGGCCGTGGCTTACGTCTGTTACGTCGTGGTGGGCGGTTGTTTGGGGTCTCACTCACGCGCTTGTGCAATGGGTCATCACCACCAGCTCTCTTGCACGCCCTAAAACGACTCCGGGCACTCGCCCCTCATACGCACGGCGTATTCCGACGCAGTGCGAATGCTAAAGCACTAAGATTGCTTAGAGATAAGGTTTGTATTAAATCTAATGTATCATAAAGCTATTTTTATTAACCCACGCAGCGCTTTTGTTATACATAAAGGTACATCTTTAAAAATTATGAAGGAAGCAGACACAACTTCTTGTCTTACGGAACTTTTATCAATATCAGATACTAAATTGGTTCTAAAGTTGGTTTAAAATTTCAGCTTGATACGCTGGGCCCATGGGCGCAAGGCTGCCCTGAGTTGGACCGAGCTCCCGTTCTGCTCTTAGCGGCGCTGGTAAAGGAATTCTTCAGGGCTTTGCCCCAACCCCTTCTTCTTGCCGAACTTTATCCCGCCTGGCTACAAGTATTAAGTGAGTATTTGCTCTTTTGCTTTGTTAATACAAATTTGCCTGCAATACATTAAGTCGCTTGTGCGAAATAGCCCGTATGATAATGATGTGAGAAATCACTAAAGCTAAATAGCTTTTTTACATGACATACCATGCTTGCTTAATTACTGTGTCCCAAAACATTGAACATAATAAATAACAATGAAATATATAACTAAAACGAATATGTAATATCTCTAATATATTTCTTTATAACCAACAAAGACATAATTAACATAAAAAATCTGCAAAATAAACCGCGTAACAAAAATAAAATTTTCTTCTGTTTCTTTCAGATTTACCTCAAACCGAAAAAGTGTCAGCCGTTCGCTCGCTACTCCTGAAGTTGCCGAAGCCGCACTACACTATGCTCACGTACTTCGTGTGTCTGTTACAAGCCATCGCCAAGAAATCCAACATCAACCTCATGTGTCCCATGAATTTGGGCGTCTGCGTCGGCCCCAGCCTCCTTTGGCCCTCCGTCCCCTGCGATAAAGCTCCAAAAGCTGTGCCAATGGTCGTAGAGTTACTTATCGTCAAAGCTGAAGCACTGTTTGGACCACAAATAGCGGGATTACTTGGGAATGGGTCCCCAGAATCCTCGAACGCGCTACTCGACTCCGGCGCTGAAGAAAGCGACAGTCTCCATTCAGTGGGCATCTCGTTGGACTCCATGGAATTATCGACTCCGCGAAAAGAGAAGCTCTCCCTAAGCAGAGATTCAGGCTTGACTCTGTCCGAAGATGACTCCAATAGCAACGGAGGCAACAGCCCCGCACCACGAAACATTCTTCACAGTCTCTCGGCGCCCACCTGTAATACGCAACAAGACAAACTAGGTAACCGTTACACAGATAATCACAACGTAAACGGTCTCCCGCCAATTAATCAGCGACAGCAAAGTATTTATACTAATAAGGCAGAAATATACAGTACGGTTAATGAAGAACTCTACACGATGCCATATATGGGTGACAGATATGTACATAATTCGATAAACATCGGTATCTCTAACGGTATCGATGATAGAAATTACGTCTCCAAGTCTGCTGTCCAACGGTCGACGGCCGATATTTATGGCCAGGGTCCGGCTAAATATATCACGGGCTTAGAACCTCAGAAGCCACCGCGAAGTAACGTGTCGAAGGCAGCTCGCACGTCAAAAGTCTACAGCATGTACTCCGAACCACAAGGAGACAAAAGTAATGCTAACAAGAGTTTCAATCGCGCTAAAAGCTCAGACAACCTGTTGGAAACGAAACAAGATGCGATCAATACAAATCGCGATCTGGTTTCCAGTCAAGAGAACATTGTTTATAGTAATATACACGACCTCGCCATGTTCACAGAAAATATCCAACGTCAGAACCAGTACCAAACGCACTCGGAATTACTTTCCAATATGAATACAAATTACTCCCGCGTTTACACCGGTTGGGAAAAGAGGAGTCCTAACTATCAAAGTAATGCGAACGAAAAAATATATGGGCAAGTGACTAATAAAGGAGAAACCTCACAAAATATAGAAGGAAAATCGTCACCGGCAGCCACCATTTTTACTAGAAATGACTGGTCTCGTCAAGCAGCAAGGACGAAGAGCTTGGAGGTTAACGACGAAGGACAAAATGTCTCCACACGCAATGGCAACTACGATATTAACATCGTCAACTGTTGCCGCAAGAGACGCTTTGATCCGGCCCATATGTGTACGAAGAATTGCATTACTCTGTCCATGGTTAACGGAAGAGAAAAGGAGAAACCGGCAATGAATCCTTTGCAGAACTCGTATTCATACATTGATGATATGCGAAACAATTCGGAAGAAAGCAAGAAGTCCAGAATGAGAACGTATAATAACAACAAATTGAATCAGTCGAAATCGCTCGCAAATATAATATTACAAAGCGACTCGAGCAGCAATGACACTCTATACCAGCCCCAAGGTTCATTCAACAGCCGATCAACCGAATCGCCGGCGAGTGAGAACTCCTTTGAAAATTGCTACACTACTCAATACATTGAGCCCCTGTACACATCTGTATACAACCGGAGGAGAGACATATTCCACGAAGATAAAAATATGTTTTCATCCGATATCTACAAAGCTACGCCTACATCTGTCCAACCAGATTACTCAACGGAAAATGAACCGAACAATAATAAGAAACCACCGCTCATGCCACCTCCAGTTCCGCCGAGAAAAATGGTTTATCAGAGGGTCTTGAAGAAATTTCAACCGGTTCACGTCAAGGACGATAAAACATCACGATCGAAGTCGGTGCCACCTGTTTACAGGGACCCGCCAAATGGAACCGAGAAAAACGAAAATGAAATCGCCTTAGATGCGTCGGGATCAGACACCGAATCGGAATCATATGTGTAGCACAACTGTTTTTTTAAACGGTTTTATGATATTACTAAAATAGTTGAGATCTGTGCACGGAAAGTAACAGCAACACATCTATGGTATATTAATGCGTACAATAAAGTTTTTAAATAGATTTTTTGTGACAAAATTATGACGTTTTAAAGTTTTTAAATTGCGTTTAAGTTTATGTATAATGTTTATTGTAGTTGTATTTTCCATATTGTTAGCATTTCGATCCCGCCTTAGAATTTTTAAAATGTGACCATACCCTGAACTATTCCGGTGATGAGTTTCCAAAGACGTTTAAATAGTTTTCAGACTATGTACAGAATATTTGATTTTCAATAGAAGTATATGATTAACTTTAATGTTGATTAGCAATAGTGAATGTGAAAGAGTTCTTACTTAAATTTTATATAGTTTCTAGTGTTACGTAAATCTATCGACTGTGTCATGTTTGTGTATTTTTACAAGATAAATAATATATGTATGTGTATTGCGTAGGTTTCTAGAGATGTGTATAAACTGTATAAAATGTACGTACATTTGTAATAAATATCGTTTTATAATGATTTTGTTTTATTCTTCCCCGACTTTTAAGATGATTTCAAATCTTAAAGTGAATTGTAGGCACGCTACCCGGGTTTGGCATGTAAGTTTGGCTGAAATCTTATCTTAGAACGTAAAATTTCTTAGGTGCCCGTTTTTTGCAATTTGGTATTCACTTAAAACTAAGCATGAAAAATTCTCAGACAAAATTGATGCTGTCAAAAACTGAGAGTCGCAATAACTTAGGCAAATAGTTAACGAAACCAGCATATCATTAGTGCCAAGGGTGCGGGGTTCGGAGGTATTGACAATTGAAATACGTAATAAGTAATTATATTAAAAAATTCCCGCCGGCAAATTGTTACTGGCTCCTATTGTTATAAGTATCATATAAATAAAATACTCGTGTCACAATGTTAGTTACCATACTCCGAAACGGCTTGACTGATTTTTATCAAATTTTATATGCATATTCAGTAGGTCTGAGAATCATCTGATAAGGGTTTTCCACCCCTAAACATTTATTTTTTAGACGAACCTTTTTGTTTTTATGATACAGCATACAAAAATACATACAACCCTTAATTTTCACTCCTCTACGATCAACCCCTATTTTTTATTAGTGTAGAATAGTTATTTTTATTGAACTAAAAAATGTTTTCTAGAAATAATATACAGTGCAAAACGACGTTTGCCGCGCCAGCTAGTATATATATAAATATATAAGTAAATACACGGTAATGTAAATAAAATGCGTTTGGTTATTTGAAAATAATTTATTCCGATGAATACTTAAAAACAATAAAAGGTTGTAGATCACAGTCAATATAAAATATGTAATTTCCTATAAATTAATATTACTATTTCATCATTTTTAATACTTATAGTAAACAGCTGATAAAAATGTTCGGAAGAGTTTCAGCATAATTTCTTTTAGATCAGTATGTAGACGTTGAACTCGAAGCCAAAAAGCAACGACGCATCGAAGATACTATTGCTATGATTATAATTGATTTATGTTTCGTCAGAACTTAATTGGACCACAAACAATACAAAAAATTTACTACTGATGTCAAACATCAAAGCCAAGAAACTTATCACTTCATACACTTCTATTCATATTCTGTCCATTTTGGTATTTACTACAAATTAAAGACAAACCAATTATGTACCTCTTTATGCGATGTTGGTGCTGGAGTTAAACTTGTTACTTTAAAAAACTCGCAGGTATTTGTTACGCAACTAATAGAATTGTTATCGCCAAAGTCTTGCAATGTGTTGTGCAAACATCAACGTTGGCGAATACTAAAAGGTATTGTCGCAGCCTTTCAAAAATAGATGAACCAAACATTGTATCATCCAAATTTAATAGGAAATTGTATGCTGTATGCATTCACATAATATTTAATTACAGTCCTGTAAACGAGGACCATTATAGTCAATTCGAAAGCTCTGTTTAGAAATTCGTTACGGACTTTTTGAAGTTATACTTCTTTAGGCGCGTTATGAAAAATTGATGAGAGTGAAATTTTACGATGCGCGCGCACAGTGACACAAAATTAACAGAATGAAGTTGCCCACGGAAGATGCTACGGCATTGGACATAATTTAAAAACAACATTCGAATAATAATAGAATTTATGTTACACTTAATGCAAGAGAATAATAATAAATATTTATTTATTTAATTTTTCAAATGTAAACTGAACTTTATTGACTATAATGACTCCTTTTCCAGTCTTTGATTATTTAATTGTAATTAATTATTTGCATGCAATCAAAAACTATTTTTAATAATGCCAAAGAAGTATAACTTCTTACGCGCGTACATAAGTACACGCACCCTTTTTTCATATGGCAATTTTATAACAATATATTCAAGCAATACTAAATAACGACAAAATTATAATAAATGATAATTAATATTTCTTTTTTATGCAAACTATTAACGAACCTAATCTTCGTTCGATTGCATTAAACCTAATATAAAAAATACGTACATAAATAATTTAATATGGAATACCGGTTAAAATTTACGATTTAAAAATCTCAAACATATTTATAAAAATATGAAATATGTTAAATTCGTTATTTTCACTTCTTGTCATGGCTTTTAACCCTATATTACAATTTTAATGTTAAATCTGGAATCACATCGTAATATCATTAAATTTCCTTGCGGCAAGAATTTTCAGCTTTTTAATTAGTCCTCTCATGGCCTCTAGGTTAATTTTTAACTTGGACTGTAATTGTGGTATCGTTTGAGCTAGCGCTTGGTCTTTTGTCCTCTTCTGGCTCGATATAATTCCATTTTTGGGTCTCACCCGTTCCAAAGAGAATAAAGTATACCGCAGCTATGATATAGAGTGAGGCACCGGTAAAGAACACTGGTCTCCATTCCGCAAAACCATTCTAAAAAAAGAATAAAATTTAAATAAAACGTTCGTTTAGTTTACAGCACTGAAAGCATGTTCTTCCGTTAAACATAACGTTATTAAAATATATTAAACGTTCACATAAATATGTCGTAAGAAATATAACAATAGTACTGTTCTATGACAGCGCAAAGATATTTAGTTATTTATATTATTTTAATTCCATTTAAATATTTATCTTAAGAAAGATACTTACTCCATTTTTAGTGAAGTACGCGGTGACTAGTGGTGTAACAAATCCGGCAGTATTTCCGATTCCGTTAGCAATTCCGTACAAAGTAGCAGCGAAGTTTGGCGCCAAATCTTGATGGTTGACAAGATTCGTCAGTGTTGCCGCACCGTTCGAACCCATAGAGAAAGTAATGAGCGCTATTGAGAGGATTGGCGCGCATCCAGTGTAACCAAGTCCTATTAGAAGCAGCCCTGGCAATACGTGAGAGAAGAGGCTGAAGAACTTCCTCATGAACGTGGTAGATACCATGTTGCGTTTTACGATTCTGGAATATATAATAAAGTTATAAATAACACATTAAATATTGACTTTTATTAACTAGATATAACGATTCCAGCCTCACGTTCTAAAAGTAAGCCTTCATGAATAAATGGACTATCCGATACAACAATATTTTTTCACTTCAACTAGTTCATGAGTTACAACAAGAATATAAAGATTAACTACTACTTATATTATTATTAAATTACTATTATTGAGACATCGCCCATTAATATAACATCATTAATTAAATTAATGTAACAATTGTGTGAATTACAATATTAATTACGATTTATGTTAATTCCCCGAAATTTGAAATCATCAAGGCGTTTCAGTTATTAATTTTGCTAACGGCGCGCACTTTTTTATTCTATGGCATATTGTGCCTGCGCGCTGGCGTAATCTTTTTCGTTTTATTTAAATAAAAATAATATGTATAATATTTCTTAAATAGCAAAATAAATCTATTTTATGTAACACTTACCTATCACCAATGGCTCCAAATATGAGTGAGAAGATCATCCGTGCCAAATATGGCAATGAAGAGATAGTACCAGTGGACGTCAGGTTGAAGCCAAGTGCACTTGAGACGTATTTAGGTGCTGCGGTCATCACGAAATATATTCCCCAATTGTTACCGTAATGCAGGACGATCATGGCCAAAAATGGCAGAGATGTAAATATTTTTTTGAAGGGCGGCACAATCTGAAATACGATTATTTAATTAGCCTGTTAGCTTGATTAACACGTAAAGTATTTTTTTATTATATACTTGATGCAGCGCTCCGTGGGCGTATTTGGAAATAAACGGAAGCACGCACGGATCCTATTCCTACCGAATTTCGATTCGATTACTTCGATTCAAAAATATGAATAAATCACTTATTATAATCTAAGGACCGATAAAAACAATTGACAAACACAGAAATATAGTTATAACTGAAATTATAATTACGGCGAAAAGTTTCACTAACTTTTGTTGTACTGTCACTATGAACTTTATCACCAATGGCTTCTAAAATATATGCCTTTTCCGCTTCAGATATCCTAGGATGCAATACGGGCGAGTCATACACAAGAAACCACCACGCCACGCACCACAACGCTGCTATTATTCCTGCAACGTATAATGTAATTTTTAACCATAGACAATGTTATTTATTTATTAGTAATTTTACAGCTAACATACATATTAAAAAACAAAACACTTAGACCTTAACAAAACCAAAACAGATTACATAGATAAACAATATATATTAACGGCTCATTGGTAGTGGTTAGTCTGATGAATCCATGGGTCCCGGGTTCGATCCCCGGCTGAGACAAACATCGATGTGATGACCATTTGGTGTTGTGCATTTTGGTTTTAAATATGTATTTATATGTCTATCTATCTAAATATGTATGTATATCCATTGCCTAGTACCCATAACACAAGCTTCACCAGCTTAGCATGGGACTAGGTCAATTGGTGAATTGTCCAATCATATTATATATTATTATTATTATTATATGAAATAAAAAACATAAGTAAAAAAAAAATAAAAAAACAAAAAAAAAAATAAAAGAAAACTGAAAACTAACACTATACAAACGACAATTAATATATTATATTTCAAAGAAAAAACTAAATTGTTACTGCTAAACAAAGTCAAAGTCCTCCCGCCTCTTCAAATATTTCCTCACATCCTCTTTGGTGAGGTGGAAAATATCAACATCCTTTTAGTTAGATAAAACCCGAAACTTTGGCGAATTGTGCTGGTAATTCGTGTTCGTATGATGCACATGGAACAATAATTGTATCTTGTCGCATACGGTGGAGGGATTCTTAGAGAAATTATCCGCACATTAAGAATATCGTGCAAAAATAATAGGTATCGCTGACTTCGCCGATCTTCTAAAGAGTCTAAACTAAAATATTTGCATAACAATCTGCATAACTATCAGGAAACATTGATACTGTTTAAAACTATGGAATTTCACAAGCTTTTATATATTTTATACTAGCCACCCGCCCCGGCTTCGCACGGATGCAATGCTGATACTAAATTGAAAGTACTATAGAGTATAGGGAGAACCGCGGCCTCTGACGCGCTGCGTCCCGCAATTTTTAAATTTGTAATATCTTTGAAAATATTCATTTAAATCATATGCTGTAAGGCCATATAGATCTATATTAAATCAACAATGTATTTAAGGTATTTCATTGAATAAGGATTAATGCTGTATTGGTTAAAATCGCTTCGAAAATTAGCCATTATTTGTCGTAAAAAGTAGATAACAAAAAAAAATTGTGGGATATCGATAAGAGATAGACATATACCATCGGGGAGTTTTCTGTAGACCTTTTCAATGTGTACAATACTTAGTACATTATTTTGATAAATCTCGTAGGGTTCGCAATGTAAGCGGAAAAAATTTAATTATTTACGATTTACATATAAACCTTCCTCCATATAAACCTTCCTCTTCAATCACTCTATCTTAAAAGATTTAAGGGACAGAGAAAGCGACTTTGTTTTATACTATGTAGTGATAGTATGGAGACTAGATGAATGATGTTTAATAGCTATGAAAACTTGTATGTTAAACAAAACTGATTTGAAATTGACATGTTCAAAAATATAATGAATTTAAAAGAATTCGTATCGAATTTCGAATTCGTAAATTGTCGTAGAATTTAGGTAAGGTTAAGATTTGAAATTTAGTGAGTACGTCTCCCGTCAATTTTTGAATTTGATAACGACAGTTATCAGCTGCTATTGCACACGTCATCCTGCTGCAAAGCTTCCAAATTTGACGCTGACCTTTTAACCTTTTTAAGAACATTTTATACATACAAAGTTTCCGTATGATCTGTTTAAAATTCGTGATATACGGTTCATAAACTACATAGACCGCTATTTAGTTCCTCTTACAACTATGATGCATAAATTAAAGATAGCCGAGGTTATAGCCTATTGTTGGTAATTTTAGCTGTTATTTTGATGTTCAAACGGAATTCATTATTTACATAATGCACATATTTTGTTTTTATAAGTAAAAAACAAGCGGTCATTGTACAATAATTAATTTGACATTGTTGACGTTCGTTGACTTTTGTTAAAAATACGGCCACGCAAAGTGACACAATGATCTACTACGCTTTAGACTTGAGACTTTGAGACGATTTCTCTAATTAAGAACTAGACTTAACGTGAACTTTCCGGCCCTCGTATTTAATTGTTTTTGAATCCAAACCCTTAGTACGTATGTCTTGTTCTTTGGATATAATTGTGTAAAATTACATACACATCTAACCTTTTAGGTCTGGGCATTAGATTTGTGTATCCGTTCCGTGATCACTTCTGATAGACAAGTGATCGACCATCTGTGACACACCGACTTTTTGTATGTCAGGCATGCCCGGTTTCCTCACGATGTTTTTCTTCCGTACGAGCTGTTGAAAGCACATAGACAGAATATCCATTTGAGGACAGCCGGGGATCGAACGACCCCAGGGATGAGAGTCGCACTTTGAAACCACTAGGCCAACGCAGCTCTTGTGGTATATTATAACGTCATATTTTTATTGCACCTTGCAATACTGTAATTTGACTATTCTTGTTTCATTGGGCAATCATTTTTAATATGCAATAGGGGTTATTATTTTAATAATATTGTATATGAGACAACACAACAAAATTTTTAATTTATTAGGGTTTATATTTAAGCAATTCGTGTCTCACAGCAGTTATGTTTGACCATAGTATACAGATGTAAAAAAACAATTACTGATGTAAAAAGACAATTCTTTTTTTTCATCGTCATTTATATTTTTGTCATATTTTTATGAGTCTTAGGGTCTGTTTCACAATGTATGGATAAGTTCTACATAAGTTACAAATTAGCTATTTATTACTTATTGGTAGGATAAACACTATTGTTGCATTTCACGACTGTCAGATAGCGTTATTCGTCACATAAAGGCCACCATAAGTTATGAGTCCGATGAATGTCAAATAGCACAATTTATCTTCCAAATAATTTATGTGTTGCATAGCTAATTGGCACTTTATCCATACATTGTGAAACAGACTCTTAATATTTGTATTATCTACTTGGCTTTCCCATCTGTCATGTTTTATATAATTATTGTTTTTCTGTGAAACTGTTTAGGATACATCTAATACCTAACTTTATATTTATTTGTGTTCTTTCTGTTTCTATTATATGATGTATCTATTTGTTTCCTGATAAATAAATAGATAATATGTTTTTTTTTCATTGAACCTTCAAGCATGCCCTTTTTTAACAAAACTTCCTTAGACGCATGAAACGTATAAAATTATAACGTGTCAATTGTCAACCAATCACAAGGCTGGGATCAATCATGCGAAACGATTTAATTTTAGAGTTAAACGAGAGTAATGTCAGGCAATAATTATGTGGAGCCGGTAAAATTATTTCGCTTATTAAGAATATGACTATGTTATTTATATATTCATTTATGTAATTGTAGAATTATCGGTGTAGGTATTATTGTATCTATCATATTAGTTACTGTAAAGATATAAAAATTTTGTGGAAAAGAAATAAATGTCAAAATCGAATAATTTTTGACGTATGGAAGTCAGACTTATCGCTGTCTCGTTTCTGATTTTACCCTAAAGATTATTGTTAAAACTAGCATAAGCTGTATTTATACATATTATGTTTATCGTGATTTATTTTATAATAACACTTACGTACAGAAATGAATAAATGTATTTCTCAACAATTTAACTATTCATATCGACGTAGGAAAGCATATTTGCTGTAAGTAGACGTGTAGAGATATTGCAATTGTTCACCAGAGCCAAAAAACTTAAATAATTTCGGAAAAAAATTAATAGTGTCGAACCTATCCATGATATTGTACCATTTTTGTAACATATATTTATTAACGCCAGTCACCATTTGCAATGTAAACTTTTTATCCAAAGTTACTATAAGTACGTGTTTGGCTAGTTACAGCATAAGTTTTTTATATCACAAACCTTTAAAACGCTGTAACTAAGGAAGAAAAATGTACGCGCGGAAATATATCAATTTAAGCCGGTAAATATGCTGTATGCAGTAAATTTATGTATTTGGGTATTTCAATTGAATTCAAGATTAAGATTAGTTTATAATATTATGATTAGATCTAGAAATGAGTGGGTCATTTGTTAATGTAATGTTTGGTTGTAATAACATGTCGTAAATGGTAAAAAAAAACTAAAACTGTAGGTTCCCTAAGCTTGCTGTAAGTAAACGAATGTAAAAATCACACGCCGCAGAAATCCTGTAAGTAGCGTTAAGTTTTTAAATGGGAAGAAGTAAGTATTTGTAAAGTAAAAAATGCAGATTTTCTTTTGCTGTAAGTACAAATTGTCTAAAATGACTGGATTTTGGTCTACATACAGCATTTAATCTTACTAAAAAAATATAAGTACGGGCGTTTTCAACCGCGTATGTAATTTTTTTCATCGTAGGACACGGACCCGAGACATTCGATGCGGTTTTTTTGTTCTGATTCTAATGGCAGGTAAAAAGTCACTTTAGGTATTTTGTCACTTACAGCAAATATGCTTTCCTCGTCGATATTTTCTATATTTTGCTCGCCAGAAATTTATAGGATTTTTAAATTTTAAAATTCTCATTGTTAAAATTACTTTCTCTGAGATAATTATTGTAATTGAGTCAGAATTAGAAATCTATGGCCAACGTTTAAAGTTTTTATAATGCATGCACCGTTTTTTCGTCATATTTATTATTAATAATTTGCGTTTAAAGAATTGGTTTTTTTTTATAATAATACCCATGACGAATTTATTCGACACATCCAGATGGTGCTGCTTTACGGCCACAAACCACACCGGTTCCCCGCGTAACACGGACTCCCCGATAATTTCAGATAATTTGTCTTCTTTTTTTCAGTAGTCCCCTCGTATCTAAAATATTATACCTGGTACATAAAATGCAAAATCCCAGCCAAATGTCTCAATAAGAGGTCCAGTGAGAGACCACGTGACCACAGTACCAATCGCGCCTCCCAAAAGGGCGCTCACGAATCGTCCTTTTTCGGTGGGCGGCGCCCAACGTGCCACTAGGGCGTGTAGTGCCGGAAACAGGAAGCCCTGAAAAATTAACACTTTATGGTCAAAGGAATTTCATAATTATGATCTGTCTGTGCATTTTTTTTAAATGTACTAGATTTTCGAACTAAAACCGCCTAGATTTTTTGGTTCTGTAAACATAGAGGCTGCATGGATGGACTGGTGGATGATCATTTAAAACCCTGATTTGATATAATTTAAATCTATTTACATTCAAGGTTGTACGACCTCGTTTCTTAAGATAAACCCTTCGATAAGAATAAACTGCTTTGTATTCAAATGAGTTATTAAAAATCTTATTTAATAATAATTGTTGATATAATTTTTTTTTAGTTCAATAACAATAACTATCTACTATAATAAAAAATATGAGTTTATCGTAGAGGGGTGAAAATTAGGGGTTGTGTGTATTTTTGTATGTTGTATTTTAAAAAAATTAAAAAAAAAACTAAAAAATAAAACTAAAATTTGGGCTGGACCCCTTATCACTTAGGAGTTTGAAAGATAGTTCCCGAGTCTCAGACTTACTGAATATGCATAAAAAATTTATACGAATCGGTTGAGCCGTCTTGGAGGAGTATGGGAATGAACATTGTGACACGAGAATTTTATGTATTAGATTAAAATTCTAAAATTCAATATACTTGTTAAAGGACTTAAATTTCTTCAAAAATTAATGGTAATTTTACGCTCATTATCAGCGCTGATATAACTTAGATGTATATTTAAAAATTATCAACAATTTATTTTATATTGCGGGATGCTTTAATGACTTCAGTAGTTATGCTTGTTTAAATAATTTACAGATAAACAGTCTTATTTAGATTTGAAACTTGATTGGTATTTAGTAGAACCAGACACAAGAACTTAACAACGATAATAAAGCTATATTTAAATTATAAGTTAACTCAATGTTAATACAAACAATGGTTCTCATAAGCGAATATTTCAACTCATTTAGGAAGAAGATTACGTACAGATAAGTAATATATTGTTTTCCTCTTGAAATACCGCGAAATCGCTTCGTATAATTTATTATCTCATCAGTGTGACGCAAAACATTTGAGTTTCCAACTTTTTGAACGTAATAAATGTGATAAATACATCACGATATTGCATTTGTTTATGAATTAAACAAAATAATTAAAAAAGCTAGCAAAAAGCAGCCCATAAAGATTCTCCCGCAAACCTCCCCTTTGATCGCTATCGGTATCCTACCTAAGGGCCCCCAGCACATGACCACCCTATACCACAATGTCAGACCTTTTTTGGTCACCTTTTTGATTTCGTCTATTGCTATTTGGAATAGAAATTCTAGATTAAAAATTACATGACCAACTTACCGCCGCTAATCCAATAAAAAATCGAACAGCTACAAGGACCATATAGTGAAGCCTCGCTGCTTGTGGGCTGATGATCGTTAAAACTGCGCTGATGAACATCGTCACAAAGACAACTCTTCTCGGGCCCCATAACTCAGCTGCTGTTCCACTGATAAGACTTGTGATTGCATAGCCCCAGAAGTAGCCAGACAGTACATACGCTTGTTCTTGGTTCGTCCATGAGAAAATGACGACACCGTCCGGCTGTTAAAATTTAATGAATATTTGAAATGTATTGTTTAATAAAATATGCTACTGGACCAAGTACTAATACCAAAAATAAATACACGTATTATTTTTGTTCATTTGGAGATCAGCAAAGTGGAACAAAATGTTTCTTCAGGAATCTCAGAACGTATTTTTACACTTTATAATTGTGTATGCTATTTAGCGAATACAATAACTACGTGTACAATGTACATATTACCTGACGCAACTGCTTTGTGATATCTGTATCATTATGTAATGAAACGTCATTTGCCACGGCCTTGCATTCGCTTTCTACCCTGTAAATAACAAAAGAACAATTTTACCGCATAAAATAATAACTGTTATAAACTTTTACAGGTGTACTCCAAGTCGTTGATCAAGTAGATTTTTAATGAGTGAGGTTATTCCTTAAATCTGGGGGGATATTTAACTGCGATATGGTTAAATGGGACGCTTAAAATAGGAATCAGTGACGCTAAAACCCTTTATGCTTCTAAGTCTCGTTTCTGAATCTCTCAATCGTAATTTTGCACATTTTAATAAAAGACTATGAGTTTGCTGTATATATGAGTAATATAAACTAATAGACTACAAGCCCATTGAAAAAAAATACCTGTGAAATGAACCAACGTGAATAACGCTTAGAAGGCTGTTACTATATCAGAAAATAATGCACTATTGCACTATGCCGTCATTTCTGAGCGGTACAGGTGAGTACGTGAGTGAATATAATTTCTCAGGTACAAATGAGGAATTACGACTAACTATTAATGTACGGCTTTCTTATAGTGTATAGATGATTAAAAATAAGTGTCGAAAAGCTTAGTGCCGTACTAAAGTGGTGGTGTCGGAAGTCGGTGCAAATCTTTAATTCGACGATAATTGCAGAAGCAATATAGGTCATTTATAATTGTACGGCATTTGTGTAATTCCTTTTGGACACATATACAGATACTTTACCCGTAAACGCCGTACATATTTTAGCGCAGGGGTCGAAAGCCAAGGGTCGCAACATATCTCTGATTAGCATATTATAGCTGATGATGATATCTTTGCTCTTCATTTAATTAACTGTAATTTTGACATGTGTTTATTTCCTAAGCAGCCCGTTTTTTTGCAACAGTGTTTGTTATAGACTAGAACATTGAAACTGCGAAGTTTTAGGTAAAAATTTACATATAAGCTTTCTAACAAGTTATATTTCCTATATTAATTTAATTTAAGATGAATTTTGTTAGATTAAATCTATTACACAATTGTATAGTAGTACATTTTTATTCTAAATGATTATTTGATAAAATATTGTACATTATTGTGATATTTTGAATGCTCATTTGGCATGGCTTATGTTGGCTCTTTACATATTTTTATCAATGTTATGTACCGCTTATATAGCAGACCTTTTTTATTACATATTTTATATTTTTAGGGATTTATAAACTTATGACACCTCGACGTCAGTCGTTCCACAACTGAGTGTTTTGTGCACCACCAGTTTGTTGAGCAGGTGCCTATTGAAGTATTTCCGAACCAATCGACTTACGCCCCAATAACCTATCTCAATCGATAATCCACCATCTGAGATTACTATCTATACGATGGTGGATTATGGATTTAAGATTACTATCTTTATCCAAATGTTGTAAAAAGTGTGCCAATAACCAATCGACGGTGTGCTAATAGCCATCCGTCGATACTAGCTATCCATGGGAGGTCGTATCGGTGTCTGTGGATAGACCTTTGTATGAAAATGACCTTTGTATTAAAATTTGTTATGTTTTAAAAATACACACGTATATTTAAATCTTATTTGTATGGTTTTATTTACGTTTTTTGGTTTGCATTGATTATCACATATCAGTGAAAACTCGGTAAAATGGAAGGACAAAGAGCATTTTATCCGTCGCCAAAAATGGATTGTCTTTGTAGCGTTTGGTTATTGGGATGCAGATAGGAGATCGATCGACTGTCACCGTCTGATCTCAGATTGTTTCCAATCTGAGATTGTGGATTGATTATTGGTATCGGGCGTTAGGGTCTTTCTACAAAAGATAGTATCGAGACTGCGTAGGCAACACACTTTCGAGGCTTAGACCAGTGTGGTGTGCAAGCGCGACAGTATTTCTTAACATCAGGTTATAAAAAAAACCTTCATACAGCCTATAATAATGTAAAGGTTGTTTAACATAATTTACTTAACAATTGCAGAGATTTAATTATTTTTCAATAATAATGTGAAACCAGCATCGAAATGTAAATAGGTTACGATAAGACTCAATGACAAATAACTAAAACGTGATAATTTTTCTACTAAGCAAATTATTCATTTTCGTATATTTATTATACGCATTTATTGTTTGACCTAAACGCATATTTTAAAATATATTATATAAAAAAATATAATACATATTCTTAATAATACTGTTGTGGATTCTTAAACACTATAAAAACCTCGGAGAAGATCGGACAATTTAGGAGAACAACTAGCTTCAAATCCTTCGCCTTAGTATTGGGAAGAATTATGTATTACATTTTTTTTCTTTTTAGATCCTTTGACACTTATAACGGTGGTTCTTTTAACATCTAAAATGACGTCTTTACAAATGAGAACATTAATAGAATTGCCTTACTTCTAATTTACGCTGTTATCGGACTATTACCTTAATTTTTCATTTCACCAATATATTATATCTTTAATTGTGGTCAAAATAAAAATATTTTTTTAACAGTGTAACGTAGGACGGGCGATTTTTCCAAACCTCAAAGTCGAAATCTCGAAGTGCATTCGATTCTAATGGAATTTTTTATCTGTATATAATTAACATATGATAGGTAGACATAGATAGAACTATTTTTTTTTAAACAGACTTAAAATAATGTTAATTGTCACAAAAGTGATACATACACACGCGAAACTAAAACAATAATGTAAAAGTAAACAATCATTTAATCATATAGGTAACATAATGTACACTTATGACTCGTCAGTAAAGAAATACATATTAATGCTTCTAATTTTACAAATTCAAGTAGGACGCATGGCCAGCCATTGGCCCCCTCGCCATATTTTTGGGAGAGAGACAACCCGATGCATGGATGCCGCCACAAGCAATGACATTTAGCGAACATGACGATCCTTGAAATGTGAACATAAGAAAATAATGGAACCTTAAACCACTGCAACCGGCGCTATAACCTTTTCAGGTTTACGCCTAATAGCTGTTTCTGTTTCACAATCATTTGCTTTTTCAAATATTCTCTTGCCTTACACACGCCATTGACTTTTTGGGTGTTTAAGGCATGCCAATATATATATTAAGGTTTGAGATAAAGAAAAAAAGATTTATAGTTTAGATACTATTCTTAAAGTCCTAAAGAGATTAGATTTTTGCCGCAATTTCGTCCGCGTAGTAAAGATATGTGAAGTACGATGAACTTTAATGTTTCATTTTTAAGACAACATAAAATGCCTATCACAAAAAGTAACTTTTTATGCCGCAATTAGAAAACAATAATCTTGTAAACAACTTCTTTAGGTTATTTCAGGTAACAGTAACTAGTAACTGCTTTACAAAATTTTATGTTTGTGGGTACAAAGGTTTAATACGCAGAAACCGTTCGACACATTTTAACATGGTGGTCCTTTATGTTCGGTGGACTCGAATTCGGGGTTATTTCGGACTATGGGATTTTTTGTGAGCAGTGATGGCCTAGTGGCTTCAGCGTGCGACTCCCATACCTGAGGTCGTAGGTTCGATCCCCAGCTGTGCACCAATGGACTTTCTTTCTATTTAACATTTAACATTTGCTCGAACGGTGAAGGAAAACATCGTGAGGAAACCGACATGTCTTAGACTCAAAAAGTTGTGCGTGTGTCAGGCACTGGAGGCTGATCACCTACTTGCCTATTAGATTTAAAAATAATCATAGAAATCCGAGGCCAAGACCTAAAGAGGTTGAAGCGCCACTGATTTATTTTTTTATGGGATTTTTTGTGCTTTAATATAAAAATAATACTTGAGAAGCGCTGCATTATTTTGTGAGCCTAATATTGCAACTGTTTCTGTCTAACACAGCCAGCTTCCTCTACCTTTTTCAATATGGAAAGTGTTAGAGAAAAATAACTATGTTTTTGTTTTTGGGATTTTTTATAATGGCAATTGATGGTGGAAATGTTTTTGTTTGTTGTTCGAATAATTTGTGCAATTTATTAAAGGAAAATTATTTTACATTAGAACAAGGCTTAAGACTCACACGAAAACATTGAGCAGCAGGAAAATACCTTACAATACAAATAATAATTTTGAATTAACAATATTGTCAAACAACTGCAGCGAGCTACTCTCATTCCGAGCAGCCGAACCGGCTGAGCCGTAGATCTTTCTGTCTATGTGCCCATTAAACACGATTACGAGCGAGTCGTACGGTGAAGGAAGATATCGTGAGGAAATTGGCATGCCTTAGACCCAAAAAGTTGTTGACGGTGTGTTATTATAGAAAACAAATAATAACGAAACTGATACACAATTCTGAGGCCTAAAGGTTGCAGCACCAAGTATTTTCTGATTAACCAACTCCACTATAGTTGACTAACTAGACTATCGGACTATGACAATGCAAGGTAATGTTAGGTACAAGCCTAGCGCACAAGGTTACTTATCGGATAAAAAACTGGTTACTAAACAAACGGCTGAATCTTCATTGAAACTTCGCGGAATTTATATTTCGTTGAACCTTGAATACGAAATCTACATTTTTAGATGTTATTTGAAGGTTTACATAGTTGATCGAATTACGAGGATAATGAATCCTATTTTTTTATATTGTTTTGTATAATCATTATATCAAATTTTAATAATTAAACAAAACAGTGGCGTAGGGTCATGGCCTATGTGATTGTGTACATCGCGCGTCGCCTAGATTGCATTTGTTTTTTAGTAGGCTTAGTCGTCTAATGCCCGTTTATCTATTCAATAATACAATTATTTTTTGATCTAACAATCTCAAATATAATATAATATACAAGGGTTGATCAATAAATAGTGATAATGCGATACATTTACTTTAAATACTGGCAGGCCTAGATATGATAACAATAAAAAAGTTATGAATACTGTTTGTTTTTTTTAATAGCCATTTGTTTGTGTCGTCTCGGATCGTGTTCATAATCAAATATTTCTGCTTTCAAATTGTGCACGCAAAAACAAACGAGGCTGTAATACGTAAGCAAAGGCGTGGCAAAGTGGCTGAAGTTGTTTTGTTTTGCCAAGATATTCCCTGCGCACAGAGTTCCGATGGCTGCCATTCAAGACCCCTGCTAAGCATCGATGGAACATCCTCCTACTATACATACTGGACCTACCCTCCTAGAGTCTGGCTAATGAAAGAAGATAATTGAATTATTTGAAAACTTTCGGATGGCAACACAGAATATCATTGAATTTCTTAGGTTAGTATCATACTTATACTATATGGACATATTATGGTCTTGATACTTTATGCAATTACTCATTTTAATTTCTATTCTATATTTTTTTCCGAATAGTGAACAGGTATAATAGCCTTAACTTTGTTTTATTGATTTTTTGGATCCTGATTTTCCGAATAAAGTTGTGTTTAAAATAAATATAGTTTTAGTTTTCCATGCAATACTAGTCATTTTAAGTATCAATAGTAAAAGACTAAATACATATAGTATTTAATTTCATAGAAATACAGTTACTATCAATGTAAAAAAATTATAAAATAAAATCAAGTATCAAGTAAGTTTAATCCACAAAATATATCAAACTTTTAGGGATATCATATTTTTTTTTTTAATTTGCCGCGCTTTTTCTTTATCTTCTTTCATTAGCCAGACTTTAGTGATTTGTACCTACCAAATTATCAAATTCTTTAAAGAACATCTCAGGGGCCATACATTTGAAGATGATGACGCAGTACATGATTTTTGGGATCGGTAAGAAGATTTTTTTTAATTTAGGGAGCGTTCACGTTTCGTGACCACCCAGTGACTCTTTATACCTAAAAGTTACCACTATGTGGTGTAAAGTATTGGAAAGTTGAAAATAATGTATATTCAATCCCCGCCCCGCATCGTAACGATTTACAAAAGGACCCCCCCGGCCCCAAATTCGTTACGTAATACTTGAACGCTCCCTTAGCTCAGGCTCTTATGGGAAACATCTGAAAGGTGACTAAGCGAAAAATAAAATAGCATTTATACAAGAATTGCGTCATACTCATTATCACTGTTTAATGATCGCCCCTAATGCATGTAATTTTGTTTCATACCAAATAAAAATTATAATATAGTATTGGGTTAACGCGAGTTCTACACATATAACTAAAACGTCAAAGTAATTAATTTTTTTTAGATATTTTTTCAAATAAGCTTGTGGGGCAAATAAGCCTACGGGATAGCCATAGAATGCAGTCACCGCATAGAGACCTATTTTAGTATGGGTGCGTTGCCGGCTTTTAAGAGAGGGGTAGAGATATTCGCAGATTTTATTCGTTACTTTTAATCGACTTCAAAAAACTCGAAGGAGGTTATCTCGAGGTCATTTAATTTGTTTTAGTCTTGGGGCTGTATCGTTCACTCGCCATAATCTTTTGTTTACTTTCTAGATAATTCCCTATATGTTAGTAGTATATTACAACTATTGTTTAGCATTTATGCTGTGAATAAATATTATAAAACTTACGTTTTTGTTGTCTTGTCTTCAGGTACCATGGCTATGATGTTAACGCTCATATTAACACGAAGCATATAGTTGATCCAACAGGCAAAAAATAACATGAGAGCCACGATAAACCGTGCTGGGATTGCATCTGAAAAAAACCATTTATATTAAATCGAGGAAATATAAGGACTGGGCACGTACGGGCGGGGTATTATCATCCATTAAAATGAAATCTTTCTTAAGAAATTAGCTCGTGGACGGTTTTTGGCTACCAATATCAATACCACTCAGCACGGGGCCATAAATTACTCGGTGAATCCAAACACGACGTTGGGATTCGTCGATTAGTTTGGAAGCTGGAATTCCTGACCACTTGAGAATGTCTGGAATGTTCTAAAGAGACGTGTAAGATCAGTGCAACCTGCTTCACAAAATATCAGGAGCTAAAAACCGTTGCAGAAAAGTGGGAACGTATTCCTCAAAATGTTATTGGTAATATAATAACAACGTACTTGTAACATCGTGGAAATCATGCCCAGAAGTATTTTAGCTGTGGTTATGCTAAGGTAACCACTTGTTGTTTTGCCGTGTATTGTTTTAAAGTATTCATAAAAAAATATAAAAACGTTGCCAGAATTCACTTCACGCGTATTACACGATTATAAGTACATACTACGTCATACAATTTAATTTCATTTAATTACCTGAAATCGACGTTAGAATGTAAACTTCCTTGGGTGGCCGAATATTTGAAAAGGGCATATAGAAACATAATTATTTATTTTTAAGTAATTGCATTTTTTTTTAAAACTGCAAAAATATTTTTTTAAATAAAACGAAAGAAGAAATTATGCGCTTCGTTCGATTGTGATTGATCAACAGTATCTCTAGTTGCGTTATTTATTTTACATTCTTATTCCCTGGAAACTTAAATAATTAGAAAAGCGATGCCATTATACCTAAAAAGTGTTAAACATTTTCCAGGCTAGGCTCTACCGAATTTGAAACACTCATATCTCGATTAATTATTTAAAAAGGGTGATAAATAAAAGCAAGGCATTATTCTTTGGTTTATATATTTTAAGTAATTCAGAAAACATATTGTAATATTTTATGAAAAATCACTCAAAAAGAGGTAATCAGGGCAACACTCTCAATATCGGAGACTGTTAATTTGATTCCCGGCGATAGAAAACGAGCCTGTCTGTGAAGTCTGTGAAGGATATTATCTTTACAAACAAACAATGGGCGTGGAGAGGCGGACGCAACCGTCGTATATCGTGTCGGAAGCGGATTAGACTCTGCTGTCACTGCATCACACCTAGGGCATATTTTTTTGATGGCGCCTTGGGGTTTTAGTGGGTATATAAACAATTGCGAGTCTCTTATAAGTTAATACCCTCCCGCATAATGCAGTCGCGCTGCGGAGTGCATTTACCCAAGCAAAAACAAATCCCGGCGATGGTAGCCCCACGACTAGAAGGTGAAGTGTCACACAATATTCTTTTAAGTTGATATCAGCACAAACTATATTTCCTTTAATTTCTCTACAAATGTGACTTATACTGTTTTTCACTTTCACTTATCCGCTGTACCGCTAACGGTGTTCGAGAGTTTTAAATAGTTTTCCAAATAGAGAAGGCTGCAAGTGTTAAGACATTGAACTAGACTTCCATTATAATATAATTGTTGACAAATGTAAAATAAAAGACTAATTAACCAAAGAATAAAGAATATCTGATTAAAATTGTGTTAAAAATTTCTTGCAGATCTACGCAAGCGTTATGTATTTAGTTTTTTTTATTTATATATGAACTTTTAAGTCCCATCAACATCATTCTAACTTACATCATCATAACAACAAGAAATCAGTTATTCAATCAAAGCTGCGCGCAAGATTGCGTGCCAAGTGCAGTGTACCCGGTCAAATAAACTAAATCTTTTGGTAATATAGTGTGCTCATAAATAGTAATAAAATATTCGTTAAAAACACTTAAATAGTCTGCGAACATTAAGATTTATAGCATGCTGTAACGTTCAAGGTCTTGATAATAAACACACGACATCAAAAATTTATAATGACGCTGCATATATAAACTGATGTGTGCATGTGTCGTTCGCTCGATCTGAAAGATCTGAATCAATACTGAGCCATTGACAAAAAGATCTGGTTCGTTCGACCCGTTCAATCGAACAATTGATTCAATTTATATATCTTAAATAGATTCTAACTCCAATGTTTCTACATTTAAGAATTATATTCGATTGGCTCTGTCATAAATTGGAAATACCGTATCGTCGGCTCGCGCTTGTTTCGTTCGTTAATCCTTTCTCTCATAGCTCACGTCATCGCTACGACTCGCCGCGACGTCATGTCTCATTGAGTGAACGAATCATTTTCAACGAAGTGACTCATTCGTTAGCGACGATTTAAAGATCTTCTAGTTCATTTGAACCGTTCAATCGGGAACGACACTTACATAGACTGGAAAGTCGCCGCCATTTCACCCCAGGACCCCCCATTAAAGTAAGCACCTAGACCATCTTCACATTTTCTCTTTCGCGAACATTAAACATCTGTTACGTATTTAAATTAATTGTCAGTGGGTGATTAAAGCCGAGATAGTTTTTATAAACATTCCAGTCTTGTTGATATGCTCAGTACATGTGTCTTATCTTCACCGAGCAGACTGCTTGGAACATCAGTGAGCGCGTTCATTTAAATATAAAATTTCGTTGTTGCGACAAAACCTTGAATATACAACCGACTACTGATTTTGAATTATAATTTATTGCCGAATATGTAATTGTAACACAACAGAGCTCGTTGTTAGTGAACTAGTCGTCGCAAAACTCGCATGACTCTCAAAAAAAGGCTCTCTTAAAATAATTATGTCTATAAAATGAACGACATTTTAAACAACCACTTATAATTTCAGATCAGTAGCTTCCGTTCCACTGGCAATACGTATCAAGTTTACGGTTAGAAACGCTCATTTCCATCGGCGCCTAATTGATTCTGACAGTTAGTATAAATAGTGATTTATCGATTTATAGTGTCTGAGTGAATTGGTGTTATTAGTGCACGAGTTATGAGCGGCATGAGGCAACGGACAAACAAGTAGACGTCTACTTAGTCCAATATAATGTGAGTATCAAAGCTATTTAGTTCCTGTTTCAGACATTTCCATCGATCTAGTGTGAAGACTGAAGAGAGATCTCGAACAATAAGGGAAGATGGAGAGTCCATACTGACTTGAATTAGATCCATTAGTCACTGACCAAAAATGGCATGAAACTATATTTACTATATGGGTCATTCTAAGTTAAGACGTAAATTCGACGTCCACGGTGAAAAATCATCTTTTAAAAAAAAAAAAAATTATCTCTTAAAGCTCGTGCTCATCTAAGTGGTCACTCAAATTCATTTCTTAATTTAATTTTATTTAGTCACAATTTTAAAAACAATTCTTTTCGGTTTTACAAAAATGAGACTGATGTGTCAAGAAACAACAATGTCCTATTTATTTTTACTAACTTTTAGTCTATGGTTGTTGATTTGCAATAATAAATTCGAGGCATAATTTATTTTTTATACACTTTAATATTACGCTCAAACGATCATTTCGAAATCAATACATTTGAATGAGTATATGTTAGACTTTAACTTTTATAATAATCAATGATTTATAAATAATGTAAAAGTTAGTTATTTTCCATCAATAAACAGCATCAAATAACACAAAAAATCTAAATAAAAAGCCGTAATGCTCAATCACCACATAGGATTAGCTTATAAGAATAATAAGATGTTGAACCACGTATCGGTCGTACAGCGTACGGCGTTAGGTATCGGTCTAGCAAGTAAATTCTTAATTAGGGTAAATATTATTTTCACTTATCATCAGAGTTGTAAAAATTAGGTCTACGTGAGATGCAAAATCTAGTCAGCGCTTCATAATATGTTTTGACTATTAGCTTCCAATACATTTTTTTTAAAATTACAATCGAAATTTTTAACAGTGTACTGTGTAACAGGGTAAAATTACCCTGAATCGTTAAGTCGCCAGAGATCGATAACTGTCGACGCAGCACTGGCGCGTCTCGATCTTCGCCCTTCGGGCCTAAACAGAGAGTAGGAGGGGGTAGTTAAGGGTTATTATAGGTGAGCCGTGCATTGTAAGTTTGCAATAGACTCGCCAGGCAGTGTACCAGTTCCACAGGGCCACAGAAATCAAGAGGGACCGATCCCCGGAGTAATTACCTATCGACAGAAGTCAACAACATCTCAGTCAGTCACAACAACAGGACTTCAATCTCGAGTAGTGAGTTAGATCGTCGTATATTAATCAAGATTTTTCAACCGAGGACTGCTTCTTTTAGAATTTATTCGAAAGTAATAATTTTCTCGATTAATTATTGATAATTTTGAACATCTGAAAAATCGGTTTAGTTGCATTTATTTTATTTAATAAAATAAAAACCGAAATAATAAATTCCTGGAGAAAGTTCCTTTGTCTTCTCATGGAATAGTCAAGCCGCAAGCGTCGGTCGAATTTTACTCTCAGTTTACTCGTAGTCGTACCCAAGGTCAAATTTCAAAGTTATTACGCACTAACGAATACTTGGCGTCCATTATTTATTAATAATATTATTACAAAAAATATTTATATTATTTATAGAGAATCCATTTACTGAGATTTCGGCGCATTTAAGACTGATTACCCGTGGATAATTTTTCGTTAATTTATTTTATATCGAGATAAATTTATTTATTAATTTAATATCATCAATGATAAAATTCTTAGAATTTAATGGGTAGTATTAAAACGCAAATTAAAAAAAAAACTTTTGTATGCTATAATATAATCCAAATTCCCATCAAAATTACTGATTGCACAGCAAAATACTCAACTCAAAATATTTTATAAAGTCTAATTTATGTTCGCGGCGTACGGCTATTTATCTTAAAGCACAGATTTTTACCAATGCACAGCTTATAATTCTAATGCACATTATACCTATTAATTATTTGTATATTACTTACAGCAGTTTTTCTAAATAAAACAGCATTTTATTGGTTATAACCATATTAATATTTATTAAGTACGACATAATGAGATATCAGTAAAATAATATAAAATTAGATACAAATAGTAACTTTTTTAATAATAATCTATAGTTTATTTCCAAATTTTTGAACTTTTAAGTTTTATAATAATAACCTCCAACAACTTTCACGCGCCAGAAACAGTTATTTAAAAAATATAACTATAATAACCTAACGAACTAGATAATAATTGGTTTTTTGGACAGCTCCGGCGCTACGGGATGCATTTCCCGTAGCGCCCCACCCTTGCGTACCAACGTACAGGCATTTTATTCAAGCCTCCGCAGCTTCGGCTTGCATAATGCCTGTGTTTTGTTACAGCGGGTGGGGACTTCTCTTCCTCCGCGCCTACGGTTTTAAAATAACACTCTAGGGGTAAAACTGACTATATATATATAAATAAAACTATTACTTTTATTCATCGATTTTTCATGCTAAAAAAACAATCGATTAATTAAAAAAAACTAGTTTTTATACAGAATGACACATATCTAATAGCCAATAGAAAAGTAGAATATGTACGGTTTGTGTACGAATTTTAATACATTACACAAAATTTTAAATAATTTTTTTAATACTTAGACGCAACTCCGGGAGCTAAAATGACATGTAGGTGTTCTAATCAAGGTCCTACGAGTCACTTACATAATCA